AGGACAAATTTACCTACAGGGACAGTAAACTGTACCTTATCTTACCTTCACAATTCTAATGAATTTTAATGTAATCCTCAATCAGACTCATTACTTTGTAATTCAGTAGCCTCATCTCACATTATACACATGCCATCCTGCCTCTGGGAGTCTAGGCCACACACTCAATGTATCACTTTGTTGAGACTAATTTCATAAGAAAAATTACTTTCTATTTCAAGGAAGTATTAGCTGGGTAAAAAAAGGAAGCCATTATGTTTAAGATTCTGGGAAAATGATTCTTTTATTCTGGATTATATGCGTTAACAAAATGTCACCTACTTCTGTTACATAATGTTTTTTTTCCCCTCAGTTATTTTTTTTTTTACTTGTTAAACGTGATTAATTTTTTTTTTCTCTCCTCAGCTGTGGTAGACCTGAATGGGCGGTATTTTGGGGGTCGAGTGGTCAAGGCCTGCTTTTATAATCTGGATAAATTTCGAGTTTTGAATCTTGGTGAACAAGTCTGAGGTGGCTCACACATCAACAGTGTCTTGTCCTGTACATATATTTTTATAGTTGATTTATGAGTTATGAAGTGTCTTTATGTGATCAGTCCACATTGTCTTCTGCCATTCAAAACATCTTTCTGTAGACATCAAATAAAAGGTAAAACTATCTACTGATGGTCTGGTGATCTATTAGTACTCATGGCTGTACAAAAGTCCTTGACTTTTGAAATTAAGCGTAGTTCAATTCTTTGGATGCTGGTGAAAGCATTGTATATATACCAGGTTTAGTCCCTGTTATTTGGTGGTAAGTCTAGCATGGTTTGTTCTTGAAGTCCAAAATTGAAAATGTAATATGACTCCTGTGAGCTTTAAACCTTGTTAGAATGTTGTTACCTCTATCCTCTATCCTCTAGCTGAAAACATGGAGTTGTGTTCTGTTTCATTCACACAATTGAGCATTATTAGTCTGTCTACTTCTCCAAAGCTCAAAATGCTCAGTTTCAACTTGTGATGTCATGAAGCGGTAGCTACCTTTTACCTTTTGTTCAGTAGAGATTGACAAATAAATAAAATAAATAAATGATTCTAGTGAAGGTGTATGGAGTTTAATAAACATGTACAGCACTTCCTGTATTACCACTTTTTGTTTTCAGAGAGTGTTTTCAGAGAGAAGAACTCAGCCTAAATATAGAGAATCTATGTGTTAAACATGTTTGAATGAAACTAAACACAACTCCAGGTAAGTTTTGATGAGGAAACAACATAAAATCAGAAAATAGCCTAATATGGGCCCTTTATAGTTATGGTACCTGATTTTCAAAATGTCAAAGGGGTAAGGTATTTGAACTTTTTAATTGGCAATGCAAACGTTAAATGTTTTGGTGGACTTTTCTAGGCCCAGTGGTCATGGTGAGCACAGAGCCAGTCTCTTGAAGCCTTATGTAACTGAAAAAGTGCCCGGAGGGAGCAGTGAAGGATGTCAGGAGAGGTCCCCCTGGAGCAGGTTAAATTCAGATCAAGACAAACGTTGGATAAGACACAACAGAGGCCCATCACGCAAGCTAATTGATATCTCAGGCCAGTAGACAAGGGAGTGAACAATGCACTGAATACATGCTACCTTAATACAGTAATTTTGTAGTCAAGTAGGTTATCTATCAAACCCAATTTCTTTACACATATTTTCATTGTATTATGTTTTATGTATTCTTAAGTCTAACTAATGTACAAAAATTAGTACATTCTAATAGAGTCTTGGTAATACTGTATGGCATTGCTGTTAATGATTGATTTAATGTGTGGTGTATTTTGATCTGCAGTAAATACTAATTATTTTTATCTTTTTAATTTTGTGCAAATAGCAATAGTAAAGGCACATAATTGCCATCTTAAAGTAAATAATGAACATAATGACCTAGTAAGGTATGCGTTGAATGGTTTAATAGTATAATCATAGTAATAACATGTGAGGCACCAGAATTCCTAAGAATTAAAAATGAAACGATAATAAAACCTACCCACAAACCTGTCAATTCTACCAGTCTGAAAGGGAAAAGTTCCCAGGAACTCCTTAATTAACTTCAAAAATTACAAATACAAGAATTCGTTGGTGTGGTTTATTTATCAAAGCGGGCAAAGGTTAAGCACTTAAACAAAATCAGAAGGTCAAATTATGAGATTCAATCACATGGATATGCATCAAAGTTTAACAAAGTTGAGGTACTTAAATGGGGGGATCAACTTTAATCAACCTAATATATGTCCTATAACATCTCTATGTTTTGTAGAAAAAAAAGTAGTTATAACACTTCTGCATTTCAGTTCTTGTTGAGGCAATTAATAGCCTTTGTGCCTGAACTTGAGTGCGTGTCTGTGGTTACTACAAGTGCATGGTCAGTGCATGGTCTGTACATGAGCGGTAGATGCAGCAATGGGATTGGCTAATGGCTCTCAATGACTGTTAAAAATGTGACATGACCTGAATGTTGGGCGTAGTGACATGAGACCAAGTCAAGGGGTCAAAAGGTCAAAGAAGGTGGTCTACAGAAATGGGTCAGTTCGTACAATATGGCACTGTAGATTAACATAGTTTTAACTTCTTGATGTTATACCAAAGATGTAGTTAACAGTTCATGCTTGCAGTTTCATGTTTATGTGTTCAAGAAAGAAGAGGGTTTTGCACAATGACACCACAGTAAAAAATAGACCTGGATTTGAAACATTTAGATTTCCATTTTGGCGGGTTGGATTTTATTCATACATCAGATTAAATATATTCTGTATCCATGGTGTCATTGTATGCCCATAGACGTCATGTAATGAAAAAGTAAGGAAGAAAAGTGGGAGTTTGTGCAATTCCTGTATCTTAATAACACGTCACTATACTGAATACTGCACTTTCTGTACCCCCTGGGCAGATTACAGAGTGCTGCTCTATCAAGGCAAACACTAGTGAATAAACCCAGTGCCGTTTCCCAACACTTCTCTTAATGGTACGTGACATTTCTGAGAGCAGGCACAATGCACCGTATAAACTTTATACAACTTATATAACTCATTATCAATCATTTAAGAAATCAGAAAGTTCATTGTGGAGGTCACAGATAGGCAATGCAGTGAATTCAGTCATTGCAAAAGAGTTTTACAGCATAGACCAAAGACCAAAAGTAACTGTCCAACTAAGAGTAGCAATGGACAGTTATAGAAGCTTAGTTTCAAGTGTTCACAACCCAGCCCTTTGTGGAGGGCAGTAACATCTTAATGGAGACAAGCTGAGGGTGGATGCCTTACCAGAAAATTTACATAGTGCTCCTTTAACTGTAATTTTTCAGAGTGCTACAGTTATTCACATGTTTGGAGTCACTGAGTTCATCCTAAAATTCTACATCAGCAAAAACAGAAGCATCTATAATTAGCCCGGGTCCAGACACTCTTTTGGAAGTCAATAAACCCTCACTGCATTACATCATCTTAAGTCTGCTGTGGCTGCAGGATGTGGGGAACAATATTGCACTAACCTCAATGCCATGATGAAGGGATGCTTCACTTTCCTTGTACAGAGTGTTAACTTAGTCTTTTAGGTTTTTTCCATATTTGCCTATGTTCAAATAATTTGTTCCTCACAGTGTAGCATTTCCTCGTCATATTTTGATGACTCAAGATGGAGGTTACTCTTTTTATGTTTAATTACACGTACAACATTTCTGGAATTATGGGGTGAATATGCTGACTGATGTACTTTTAAAAGTTCAAATTGTGAATATTTTACATAAATATGAAGAATATGATTTAAATTTACCAATATTCTTTCTTCATTTAATAGTTTGAATTTTAAATAGTATTGCTTTGGGGGTTATGTGAGTCGTATATACTCAGAACTGAGGAAGTGATGTCCTTTCTGTGGCTTTTGGCTTTGTAATTTACAGCCATGCTGTAGAAATACAATCAATTCTACTCTTGCACAACTAATGATTTTACGTATGTTTTGCCACCCATGGGAGAATCGCAGAATCGCCTTTTTTAATTTTTTTTATTATACGCATATTTAACTACCTACCTTTTGTTGTTTCTAAACTGATTAAAGTTGATTAAACAAAATGCTGCCTTATTTTTTATATTCTATTTTTAACTAGCCTATACGTAAAAATTATTCAACAGCGTTAGCGTTAAAGTGAGTTCACAGCATTGCCACACAACATCCTTTCACAGTCATCTGCAGCTGCTCTGAGAGAATCCACACTTATTAGATTTTGAGAGGGGGGTGCCCAGGATGAGGCAGAGCAGTGGAGATGTGCGCTCCGGCACGTTTCACCAGGCTCACCACAGCTGGCCCTGGACATGTGTGAATTCATTACCACGAACTTAGACTTTAGTTTTTTTTCTGTTGCTATGCGCCGGTATTTGTGAGGTCTGTTTTGTTATCTCCTAATCTGCACCTCGAGATGCTTTGTATTGTCATTCAAACTGGCTAAATAGACCCAATCCACAAAAGGGAGAATGTGAACAATGAAACAAGTAGGCCTAGGTCTATCGCTATTGACAATAAGAGAATGCAAAGACATTTGGACGTGCTCTGATTTTGTTGAAATTCCTAGCCATAAGCAAAATAGGAATTAAGGAATTTGCCAGTATTAAGCAGTCTGGACGGAGTGGACGTGTGTGGCCTACTTAGACTAGTGGATTGACAAAAAGAAAAAACATTCTGAATAATCACGTAGACCTGTTGAATCTGTAGGTTTTATCACTTTACCAAACCAATCATAGACATAAGTGTGATTTCCAAGTGAATTTGAAATTGACCCCTTTTGCACTCTCGACGATCTTTAATGCCACAGGAGGGCGCTTTGGAACATGAGTCTGCACTATGTAGGCTGCTTGTGTCGTGTGTAGTGGGGCCAGGGCAGGGATGGAGCGGTGTGTGTTTGCTTTTCATCTGCACCTCACACGTGGTTTCCCGGAGGGGCGGAGTCACTCGGCAGACGGGCGGATGAGACGGAGACGAACCGGCTTCATAAGCAGGACAGCTCGTGGCAGGGCACAGCAGAGTCTGATAACGAACCGAGAAGAATAGAGTTTTTTTACGGACGCGTTTTTACCGGCGACGTCTACATTTGTCCCTTTTGGATTCGAGCAGTATCTCTTTGGATCTCCAGTCTCAAGGAATGCCCAGGGAGCTGACCCAGAACAGGATCCAGAAGATTTGGGTTCCCACTAAGGATGACAAACCGGCCGCACGAAGAGGTAAGGCTTAATATCTCATCATCTACTTACTTTTTTTGTAATTTGTTTCTCAGTTTTCTGGATTTAGTTCGTAATCGTTACAATTATGTGCACCTGTTCGCTGTACGCACGACATTTTTTTTTAAAGAGCCGCGTGCGTAAAGTGGAAGTGGGCTTCATTTTGCACGCGCTGCACGTCACGGTTTCCTTTGCTGCCGCGTGACGAGCCCCCCGTCTCCATAGTGACGGAGCCGGTGCGCGCGAGGCACCGATTGGACAGGGAGATGGTACCACTTGGATGCTGAATCACGAAATTAAATTCATGAATAGATGGATAATTTAATCTATAAATGGTGACGATGAAACAACATGGTCGAGCAGTTTGACAAATCGTATCCGTATAGCCTTGTGGCCTTCCTGTTACGTTTTCGTTTGAACCTTTTGTCTGTTAAAGCTTTCCTTTTATAACAAAAATGTTAAGTGTGTTATTATTCTACTGCACAATGATTGTTGCGTATGTCTTTATTGTAACCAAGGACTGATCGAGCATTTATAGTAGGCCTACCACTCTATCCTTCACTGACATTCCTTCATATGGGGTCATTGGGTTCACTCAGCTGGTGTATGCTCTAGACTGGAGTGCAATTCTGACAGTTAGAAATAAAATCACTGCAGTCACTGAGTCTTAATGACTTAACTTTCCACTCACATTCCTATGGGCAAGAGTCACAAATTCCTATTCTAGACCTGCTATACAAAATTACGTAAATGGCCCAGGAGAGGATTTTCTTGTCAGTGACTCCTTCAATCAATTTTAAAAATGCCAGGTTTGTTTGTTTTGTTTTGTGTTCATGTAGAGCTGGATTCACATGTATTCACACATGACTGACCGAGGTGAACGGGTACATGATGATGAGGTCCATTGCATACGTGACAGAGGCTTAATCCGTTTTTCCAAATCATTAATATGCTGGCGGTGATGTTGGATTAGAATTGGGATGGGAAATATTGACCAAACTGAAAATCTCTATATGTCTTTTTAATATTCCAATTACATTATTGGTTCATGTTCAAGTTCGGCACCAGGAGTGAATGAACTGTAAAATGAACCACAAAAATGCAGAAAATGTAAAGATTATTTGAAAGATTACTCCCATGTGACTAAAATAATGATCTGAAGGTGTCACATCTGTTGCTGATCCAGATATTAATGATTTTAGAAGGATTAGGAATTGTTCGACAGTTGTCCTCTATTGGGAAGGTCAGCCAGGAAGCAACTGTACAATTCTGTGACAAATCAATCTAAATTTTGGCAACACAGTATTTGAAAATATGCAGTAGGAATATTTATAAGAAAATCAGGTCAAATCTGACTAAACTTTAACTTGAAATGCGTTCTAACAGCTAAGGCAGGTCAAGGTCAAAACCGCCAAAACTAACTAAAATAAAGCAAGTGCTAATGATGCAACATGTAGGAAACAAGTTTCAGTCAGTTTTCAGTATTTGGTCCAAAATGTCTCCTTTAGACTTATGTCATTGCATTTGTGAATAAAAATGTAATTGTAGTATTAAATAATTGTGTGTATAACTCTGAAGCATGATTATTTTTCTGTATATACTGTACATATATGTCTATAGCGTAGCAGAATATGAGAGGGCTTACAGAAGTGGGTCAGGTGTGCTCTGTGGTGGCAGTAATGGATGCGTCTGCTGTCTGTATAAATAGCTGGTGAGAAGTGGGTCGTATAAACTACAGTGATACCAATAACACTGTAGCTATCTCAAATAACGGAAATACCAGAAATAATAAATACATTTCTGTTGAAGTGTGAAATGATAGTGCTAGATCATTTTCTGTACTGAATAAGCAATCAAATTTGAGACTTTGGAAAGGTAACATGACCAGGCTAACAAAATAATTGATAAATGCTGAGGCAACATATTATTTAACAATTATCTAATGCTAACATACTACTTTTGAAAGAATGTTTTTCAGCAGTGTTTTAGCAGTGAAACTAGTGTATGTCTGGAATTTTAGTTTGTGTTACTTTCTTATCTGAGCTGTCAGTTTCGCTGACGAAATGGAAAAATTATTTGACTACATGTAAATAATCTGATAGAGCTTTACAGAAAAGTGAGTGTTGTTATTTTTGGCGTTACTTAGTGCAATATCAATTTTTGCTTTGTTTACTATTCTTTGTATTATTTAGCTATAAAAATCTATTCTATTCTAAACAAAACACAACTCCAGGTATGTCTTTGGGGAGGTAACAACATTCTAACATGGCTTAAAGATCACAAGAATCAATTTTGTGTAATAAAGAACCTTTAAGTTGTCTCTTTATATTCTAGTCCAGTTTATGTTTTTGTTGTACTCCAAGTATTCATGTTTTTTGTTGCTTCTTTGCTTGTGTTTAAAGGGGCCGGTGCGCCTCACTTCGCCAACCCCCCCACGGTGATAGTGATGGTGGGCCTCCCTGCTCGAGGGAAGACCTACATATCCAAAAAACTCACCCGCTACCTCAACTGGATCGGCATGCCCACCAAAGGTACGCCACACTGTTGCATTATACATTGTGCATATTTATTATTTTAATCAACCAAATATTTTCTACTGTTCTAACTGTTCTCGTTTTTTCCTGATAGTTTTTAATGTCGGAGAGTATCGCAGGGAGGCAGTCAAAAATTACAGCTCCTATGACTTCTTCAAGCCTGATAATGAATGCGCGGTCAAAATCAGGCAGTAAGCTCCTCTTACAACCAAATAAATGTATAGTTTCAAATATAAAAACAATATAAACAAACTATGTGTTCTCTCTTATTTAGACAATGTGCCTTAGCTGCTCTGCGCGATGTCAAGGTCTTACCTAAAGGACGAAGGAGGCCAAGTTGCTGTAAGATCTAGCATTTTCTGTCTTAAATCTAAAATCCTAAATCTCCTTTTTGCTGGTTTTAACTTGCATAACACTTAATAGGTGTTTGATGCCACAAACACGACTCGGGAAAGGCGTGATCTCATCCTGCAATTTGGCAAACAGAATGGTTTCAAGGTAAGTCAGACTTTGAGCTAAGGGCTAATTTGCTGAAGTGGATCGTGCGCTAAACTGATCTACTCTTTCATTCAGATCTTTTTCATTGAATCCGTTTGCGATGACCCCAATGTAATTGCCTCTAACATTATGGTAAGCTAAAATAACATGATTAACTCATATTATTAAAATGTTTTACAGGGGAAATTAGAATTGCATTTTGCCAATTTGTGCAGGAGGTGAAAGTGTCTTGTCCTGATTATAAGGACTGCAACAAGACGGATGCCATGTTGGATTTCCACAGGAGAATCGAGTGTTACAAATCCAGCTACCAGCCCCTAGACCCTGATGGATATGACAGGTACTTTGTTTTAAATTATTATTATAATTCAGTAATATTAGGAATACACAGTTATGTCATGATTTCTAATACAGTGAGCTCCTTGAAAGCAAAATTACTAGTAATACTAAATAATATCATTTACAATTTATTTATATAATAAGGTATTATATAATAAGGTACACCAAGGTATGATCTTATCAGTTGGCGTCCACATTTACAAATCAGTTTTAAATGGCCCATAATGAACACTAATACGGTTCATACCGTTCTGGTAATCCAAGCTAATGAGACCAGAGGAAGCAATTAATCACACAGTTACATCATTCCTTCTAACATAACACCTCAACCATCTTGCCAATTACACGCTTGGATCTGGATTTGTACAACATGTTTGCTAACTGATTAAAAATATACATATTCTTTTTTATATTATTATTTTTTTACTGTACAAATTAGCAAATAAAATGTAAATAGTATTCACATGCACACTTTTGGCTATCCTCTTACTTACTAGGTTACATTCAAGCATTACATTTGAAAGGCTGGTTTTGATTCATCTGACAGTTGTGCAACAATTATTAAAACATAACCGTATTTCTTGTTTCTTGTTTTCAGGGATATGTCTTTCATTCGTATTATTGATGTTGGCCGTCAGTTCTTGGTGAACCGTGTCCAGGATCACATTCAGAGTAAGATCGTGTATTACCTGATGAACATCCACGTACAACCCAGAACCATTTACCTGTGTCGTCACGGCGAGAGCACAGACAACCTGCAGGGGAGGCTGGGTGGAGACTCAGGGCTGTCTGCACGTGGGAGACAGGTGAGCCCTTCAGGATTTCATGCAGTCAGTATAAAAATGTTATGACACAAGATGAGAGATTAGGCCCCCCAGAAGGAGACAGGTTTTGGACAAAATGTATAATAATTCACTGTATTTTTTACATTCAAGGTGACCAAAGTGTTTCACATTAAAATCAACACAGTATATAGTTAATGAAATTGAATTGTTTACATTAAAAACATTGGGTTAAAGTGATATTTTAGTCCATCAGTAGTGAAATTTAAAAAAGTAGTCAGTGGACTGTAAACATGTAAATTTAATATAATTTTTTGTCAGTTTATTTGATGCACACTGCAGGTGGTGTTTATGTCTGTCCCTTTTTCACACTCTTATTGCTTGTAATAATAGCTTAAGGTGTTTATGCAAGAAGCATTATGTTACGCTAATATCTTAACTAAACATAAATTATTTCTGTGTGCAGTTCTCCCTGGCCCTTTCTCAGTTTGTGAAGGAGCAGGAGCTGAAGAATCTGAAGGTTTGGACTAGTCAGTTGTGCCGCACCATTCAGACAGCAGAGCACCTGGGCATCCCCTACGAGCAGTGGAAGGCCCTTAATGAGATCGATGCTGTGAGTATGAACTACACAATATTAACTTTTATATTAACTTATAAATATTAATATTAATATTAACATTAACTTACATGAAAAGCTGTTGCTAAGTTAGTGTTTTGTACCTCCAGGGTGTGTGTGAGGACATGACGTATGATGAAATGAAGGAGAAGTACCCAGAGGAGTTTGCCTTGAGAGATGAAGATAAATACTACTACCGTTACCCAGCTGGAGAGGTACACACCATGTACTTTGTCAACTATCAAATGTACCACAAAATAGCATAGACGTTTAAATTTAGCTAGATGTCTCATCTCACTCTTCAACCCCTATTGCATTTGAAACTCCTCTTAAAATGCAAAAGTATTGACAAAAATATTATTCATTTAGCCTAGACTCAAAACAAGGTTGAGTGTTCCAGTCCATTTAACAGCAATGCACACAGTGTTGTGGAATCCTTTGTCAAGATGTGTTGCCCATCTTGCCCATACAAACTGATCAACTTTCAGTGTTTATAAAAGAGCAAAATAGGTCTGATAATGCATTAGTTTTATAATGTATGTGCTGATGTAGGTCTGTTTTTTGATGGACAGTCATATCAGGACCTGGTGCAGCGTGTGGAGCCTGTGATCATGGAGCTGGAGAGACAGGAGAATGTTCTGGTCATCTGCCACCAGGCCGTGATGAGGTGTCTGCTCGCCTACTTCCTCGACAAAAGTGCAGGTAAATACACAACAAAATGCTGTATTTACTAGTCTTCTTTTTTAAATTGCACTACCAATATACATTTACATTTGAGATGCCCAATATTTAAGTGCTGTACATAATAAACATATAATGTTAAATAATGCACTATGTAATATTTCTGCTTTAGATTAAATATATCTTGCATTTTTTCAACTTTTAATTGCACACACAAAAAACAACATTCTTACTCTGAGCAGGCTTGCCTCTCCACATCTCCCTGGAGAAAAGCCGGATATAATCAGAAATGCTACATAGTGCTCCTAGATAAACTGATTTCAGCATGTTGGATTTGAGAATAAAATGTAAAGTGTTTTGCTAACTGTTCCTCTTTGTTCCAGATGAGATGCCGTACCTGAAGTGTCCGCTGCATACAGTGCTGAAGCTCACTCCTGTGGCCTATGGCTGTAAAGTGGAGTCCATTTCTCTGAATGTGGAGGCGGTCAACACTCACAGAGACAGACCAGAGGTAAAAAAAAACAACATACAAAGATATTACATGATTACTATATGTAAGAGTATTCCAGTTTTTGTTTAATACCTTTTAAAATGATAAATGCAGTATTTTACTCTTTCAGTAGAGTAAGTGTGTATAATCAGATCATTTTATACCATATCTTGCCACAGTGTAACATGAAGCCTAAAAAGTCATGCATATTTCTTTATTTATTAATTGCTTATATGTTTCTTCTTACAGGAGGTGAAGAGGGGTCCGGGGATCTTGCAGAGGAGAAACAGCGTGACTCCGTTGACCAGCCCAGAGTCTAACATTAAAAAACCTCGCATCGATGACCTGGATGAAGCCCCTATCCAGGAGTTGCCCCCCTCTGTTGCCTCTCTAGCCCTTTGTAGCCCCAATCACCTCCCGCTGGCACTGGCTGGACAGGTGGGTCCCTGACTTAGACAGTAGAATTTATAGATCAACAATAGGAATTATTTGGGAGCTGTAGTACAGTTGAACAATAAAATAGAAACAGATGATTGGTTTTTAATGTAAAACAACTAAGACCTGCGCTACTTTGAGTTTGCTCCTTTGCTCTCAGTGTCAGCACTGCAGCAGGCCACTTCCCCTTTAAGACCTGTCTTCCACGTTTCTGGTTTTTACACATTATTTTTCACTTATTACTCAACTTCCTGCTCTTTCTCTCTCCCCTTTTCTCTTTTTGTCTTTCTTCTTTTTTGTTGCCACTGACAGCACTGGCTGGGCAAAGTCTGTTTGTAAGTATCTTGAGTTTTACATTTTTAGACCTCATATCCCATGGTAGCCCTCGCTTTCCTGTTCAGATCTGGCCAAGACACACACATCCTGTAGTCCTGCTGTGTTTTCCACCCCTACCAATCTATTGTTTTATAATCAGAGGAAAAGGTCAAATAGAACTGCTATAATTAAACTGTATTCATATTTTAAAAAAATAAAATATAAGAGGTATATTTAAATTTAGCGTAGTTGCATGTTGCAGTCACTACTTTACTTTACAACATCAGTATAACATCAGTATTTGTAATTGTTACTATTAAATCCACTACAATTGTTACAGTACTATTTCTAGCCACATACATACACTTTTACACATATATTTTATAAATATAAAATAGTATTGCTTTTATAGAAAAAATATACTCGTAAAACTCTTACAAAACTACACTCCTCCTCTTGTTCTAGTTTTATTTATTTATTACAATAACAGTGGTCAGGTTTTACATAGCCCCAGTATAAACATACTTCCTTCTCCCTTATATGGTGAGGTTCAGTGGAAGCCCCTCCCTATTTCCCAGCAGTGAGTTGTGAGTGGAGGAAACAGGAAACTTTAGCTCAGATCTGTTTATCCCTAGTTCATATTCTGACCCTTGTAGATTAAACATTACTACCTTCCTCCATAAATACAGCTTACTCATGATGACTGTGTCCCCCTCTTGTCTCTTGTCTCTCTTTGGCTTTGTTTTTGTCTTGTTTTCCTGCTTAAGACGCACCATTCTTCACTATCTCAAAGTGGTCTCGCTCTTAGTCTGTCACAGGTAAAAACTCTTGTAGATTGCCCACAGTTCTTTTCTCAGAAAAGACACTCTGTTGACACACTCTGTTCCACCTTGTGATGTTATGCGGTAATACAGGAAGTGCTCCACTGTGTTTTTAAACTCCATAATTTCAGATCTGGAATTGACAGTTTCTACTGAGCTAAATGTAAAAGGTAGCTAGCCCGGAAAACTACCACCTCATGACATCACAAGATGGAACAGAGCATTTTGAGCTTTGGAGGTGGTACGCAGACTAATAATAAAGGATTACTTAGACATGTGTGAATGAAACAAAACAAAGTCTAGTTACGTTTTTGAGGAGGTAATTGAATTGTAACATGGCTTAAAGCTCACAAGAGGCAGTAAATACAGGACCTTTAATACTATGATTGTTTCATTGAAAAGTGTGCTAATAGCTGCTCATATTAAGTACTTTTAACAGATTCATTATTCATTATGCATTAGAAACATTAGTGCCAAATGCTTGCAAATGCATACCCTTGTCTCTGTGTTGGCCGTGTCCATGTGCTGGATGTGCTGTTTCAGTGGAAAAGCTTGTGTAGCTTCATTCATAATCACTTGAGATTAGCCATCTCAGTTAGCCACAACGACCTGTTCCCACACTGAGAAGCTAAGCTAAAAATACCATTGAGAAACCAGGTCCAAGACGAACAGGTGACGTAACCTGTTCTTAGGCTAATGCTTTAGCTTTGTATATATTTACCTAACAAAATTAGCTTTGTGTTCATGTCTGTGAAACATGCAACAGGAAGACCTTGTAGACGTTTTAGTAAAGTCAGTTATAATGATAACAGACACAGGATTCCAATTTAATTACATTGAATTTAAAAGTTTATTGCACAACTTTTCTGGTAGAGGGTCCTTCAACTGCTTGTCTCCATGACGATGTTATTGCTTTGTGTGGAACTAGCTAATTAGCATTTATCCATTACAGGTGTTTCTACTGCTCACAAATACAATAATTCTCTCTGTGAATAGGCTTGCCTTTACACAGATCTGACCTATGATGTAGCCTATAGTTGTCTCCCCTGAATCTTTACCATGGAACATTCTAGATAAAGCAATAACCTCTCCAGGAAGACAAGCTGGTGATAGAGACTCCACCAGAAAAGTTGTGCATTGCACCTTTTGCTGCATCGTTTGATCAGGGCAGCAGTGACCTAGGTGGAAGCAGATATCTTTTGGCTTGAATACTGCAGGTTTTGTACGAGCTACAACCAGCGCGCACTGCCATTGTGTCATTGGCCGAGACATTTGGATGTGTTTCAATGTAGTGTGTATCTTATCACTTCCAAGTATTGCAGTGATAAAGCAGAACTAGAGTGACTCAACTCTACAGCTGAAATATCTTACTTGGTATTCTGCAAGCAGTGAGTTTTATGTTTTTTCTTTCTTTGTGTTTTTCAGAAGCTGAGAAGGGACTCTGTTCGCCGTGATGTTTTTCAAACCTGCAAATGATACAACCTCTTCTCCCCAAGAGACCACAAACTCCCCCCAGACAAGTCTTATAATAATATATGAAGGACTCTTTATCTTTACCACAATCACACTTTTTTATTATAACAATATTGGTCATCTCATTTTGTTTGATATTTCCATCTTTTCACTTGAAAATTCATTGTAATTCAATAATGACTGAACATGGGTCCTGAAACTGTTTTCATGGACACATCTTACTTGTTACAACATTGTAGAATAATTAACTCTAGACAGATTTCAGGTCGCATTTTCTAAATTATCTCTGACTTTCTAACTAACTTAGTTCTCAGTTTTTATAATTTATATTTAATGTCTATCAATTATACTTTATTGTTTTTAACTTATTTGTTGATGTTCCACAAAACAGTGATTATTTTGCACAGAGGAGGTGTGTACAAAGTTTTGAGTTAACTTTTATTTTATGCAACTTTTTGCCAAATAGTGCCTGTAGAGCTTGGTCTGCAAGTCTAAAGCTGCTTCATTTGCAGTTTAAACCAGTTTTCATCTCATTTTTCAATTTGCTTTCGTGTCAATGTAATCTCACTTTTCAGTTAATTTTTCACTTACATATGTGTATATTTTGTTTTATAGAAGAAGATTTACCTTAATTTTCTTTGCTGCCACTGTCGCTACGCACAAAGTCCTTATTTTTGTTACAAAGAAGCGTGCTGATAATAATATTAATATGGCATTTTGTCAGATGTGTGAAACACTACAGTAGGAGATGTGCTGAATGATGGAAAATTATTGTTGAGTTGTGTGTTTTTGTACTTTTGTGTTGGGACTGAATGAAGTTCTGTTGACATGTTTGCTTGAGATACTTGAAAATGTTTGTTTTTTTTGTAAAAATTATTTATTAAGTAGTTTTTGGATGGATGCTCAGAGTCTTTCTCAGTATGTTGTACATGTGATTTTTGCATCTGCTGGACCAATTAAAACACTCCAAGGAATACACTCTTTTGGTATCAAGTTGTTTTGTTTTTATTCTAACTAATTTTCAGTTAGATTTTCAGCAAAAAGGTGAGAATGACTTGATGAAAAACTCTTATACTAGCTAGCTTGTAACTATATTTTTTATTTAAGAGGGACTTGTTTAACAGCTCAAATCAGCTCACCTGCTGTAATTCCAGTTAAATCAGTTTTTTATAGTCAGATTGTGTTAATACGAAACTCAAGTAACAGAGCTTCAGACAGAACAGTGCTTACAGTTAGCTTCATCGCCACAGGGTATGCTGATAAAATCAACTGCAAAGTATCAATATTACATGGTCAAAAAGTAAACTAATAACATTAATTAATTAAAAAATAATTCATATAAAAACTTTCACTTAAGCAAATGTCCACAAACATAAGGTTGGTGGTTCAATCCTAGTCTAGACCACTGAATACTGTCCTTGTGCAAGTCACATTTTATTATAAAGTTCACTGGACAACAGAAAGACAATCAAATAACTTGTTTCTAGTTCATGAATAACAGAATAAACAATGCCCGTAAGTGTGTACTTGCATATGCTTGTCATTTAACATATGTGTGACATAAGATTATGCATTATCCACTAGTCTTCACCTTGTTACTACATTTATGACTTCAAATTCTTTAAGCACAACACTATGTACTGGCACACCAATTGAGTCACTACAGGACCTTATCAGAAATGACCTGCTCCCGGGAAATTAAAATTGCAGCAGAGCAAATAACTCTCCAACGTCATAACACGAGACCACAATAAAATATTCATAAACTAATTTACACAGTGAAACGAGGTAGGGTGCATGCTTATCTGTGGAGAACTACTGAAGAGAGTGACGTAAGATAAGTAGATGTTGTAACAGGAAAAATTATCAGAAATTTCACTGAAGATCATACATAAGATTTGGTCTTAAGGAGCATTTATGCACATAATCTAACAGTTGGAAAAATGACCAAAACTTCACAATTGTAACACAATTGTAGACCATATTTTTGCTAATACCGCTTTCATGTTTGCTGCTGTGTTGCTGCTGCCGAACGTTCTTCGGGATCACTAAAGTATCTGTCTATCTGATGCCATAAAAGGTCACTAAAGCAGTTTGTTTCCTTTAAGAGTTCACATTTGACTGTGACTGGTTAAATCCACCTGTCACTCAGAGCAGGACACAGGCTGACCAATAGGAGGAGTTGGTGAGGGAAAGTAGAGTCTGCTCTATTAAACACAATTTTAATGCATGCACAAATGAAGAGAGATGGAATAATATTTTGATAGCAGTAAAATACATTTGTGTTTTAAGATATACAAAGAGTAAACTGCAAGCCTCCAATTGCTTTTTTAAATAGCACTTATTGTTTTTTGCAAATGAACTCTTCAAATGTATTGCTATTAATTGTGAAAGCACTTTCTATCTGATCAATATTCTTCATTTTCAAGATATAAATAAAATTTTAGAAATAGAGTTAAGGAAGCAATAGCAGTACTGACTGTAATACATCCAGTAAAGGTTTATGGCACTGAAGGCTGAGCGACATTAATGAACTGGATCGGATATACCTTTGTATATTTTAATTGAAATATTGTTGCAATAACACAAGTAAGTTGTATGTATCGTAAATTGTTTTTTAAACACAATTTAACCTTACAAGTGTGTATGATTTGAGCACAGCAATGTAACAGGTCAACATATTCAAAAATGAGATTCTGGATAAAATGTATAAAATGTTTTGTTTTTTACACAAGTCAACTTACACTATTTCATTCTGCTTTCTATGTCTAAATATGAGAAAACATACAACCAATTCTTTCTCTCTTTTTGTATCTCATATCCACATCTGTATTTGACAACAGATGTTTTGCATCAGTAACCTAAATGTAATATATCAAAAGACAATATAAATATAAAAGGTGTTACAGAATGTACAAATGTTCTGAACAGGCATCTTATTCTTGGACCAGATTTATACAGGATATATAGTGGTTAATTCACAGTAATGACTAACCTGACTTTCCCCATTCTTTCACACTAGTCTAGCACCTCCGACTCACTGTCCGGCTCTTGTTGAATCAGTGCGGACTTGGGACACATGAGACATCCCTTCTACAGACAGACTGTGTATGTGACTGCAGTCAGCTCCACCAGATTCAGATCCTCCTCACGTAGGCACTGAAACCCAGTGAACCTGATTTGAATTTAGGATTTGCATGCTGTCTCTAAGTTACACACTTGTGTAACCTATTAATAAAATACAGAATCACATTTTCCACTTTGTACATTTTAGTAAGTCCAGTATTTTGCCAAACAGCATCACTAGTTTACTGAATTTCTGAGTCTGGGTTTTTTTGCAAATAAAAAGACAAATGCTGATCTAAAAAAGTAAAGTAACATAATCATAATTCACTTATTCTCATGAATTAAAAACATTAACTTGTTTCTCCTGAATCAAATCTTAACTTTAAAGTCAAGAATAATTATGTGACTCATCGTCAAGAGCCATGGCCACCAAAATGATCAAACCAATTATCATTAGCATTTTCCAAAATGTTAGGCTAAATGAGATGTACACTGGCAAAATATATAGTGCATAAATGTTCAGACTGTAGACACTGTAGACAGTGAGACAAATATGTGCAGTGGGTGTATTCCTCAGCAAGGTGCTCCTGACCTGGGTATGAAGGTTCTTTGGCAATACACTTCCCCTCTCCTCCTGATTGTTTGATAAGGATTGGTCAAAAGCAGAAAACACATGTGCCCACACTGTGCCTGAGAGACACTTTAGTATCCATATAGATATATGTATCATATATATTCTGTTTATTACACATCTTCAACCTGTTGGTGTTTTTGTTCCAAAATGGAGAATGACATCAGAGATGTGCTATTTGTATTAATCATCTGATTCAGAAAAAATAAAGTGTGAGAAGAGCTAAAGGGTCTCATTAAATTATACTGTACAAACCCGGTTCTGTGTTTGACACAGATTTCTAGCTCAAGCCTCTTCTAGTCTGTGCATAGAAATGCATCAAAGCAACTGAGAAAATCTGTGACCACAAAGTGTCTTTTTTATAAAAGTGTTTTAAGTTTTGTTCACAAAGTTTACTTTTTCAAATGCTCTGACTGTTTTGTGTCTTGCGTGAATATTTTACAAAGTGTGAAAAAGATTTGTTAGATTTATAAAATATTCCAAAACAATTGAAGCAGTATACAAAATACAGAACCTGTATTACCTGTGGAAATTTTAGAAACAAAACCATATAACTTTTTTGAACTTTTTCCTTCTCCAGCCAACTGCAGAAATGCCTGGTAACTGTGGGAGCATGTGCTAATCAGTTTGATGAAGCAGCTCAGTGCACATGCAGGTGACCTCTGTGACCCAAGGGCTGCTGTGTCAGATGTACTGCGTGAATGCTCGTGTTAGCGCTAAGCCTGTCCTGATATAACAGTCTATAACTGTCTAATGCTGCACTCACACCATACTCACATCAAACCAAGTGTGGAAGCTGAGATCCAGAGGAGTGCACTCATCCAGATAGATAACTTTGCATATTCATGTTTTGCACTTTCTTGCAAAAAATAAATTGGACCACTCCTGGAATTAAGCAGTCGATTCCCATGACTTTAGCACAGTTCACATAAATGATTTGCACTTTTTTCCTCACACTATTTTGCAACCAATATCACATGCACGTTTTATCTATATTGTAGTGCTGTTCTTGTACTTATTTTTAGTGATGCACTGATCCAATGCTGGTATCTCATGCCGGTGCCGTTACTAGATTAGCTTCCAAATATCGGTTCAGCCAATATCCTAACGTGACTATTTACTTGTCGTAGAAAGAAATGCATTTCAACAATTTGATCTTATTTTAGTTTAGTTTTAAGGAAATACATGCTGTTTTTAACTATCCACACTGGTATTGGTAGATATCAGGAATATTGGATGATACTAAAAGCTGTAGTATCTGAATCTGTATTGGAACTGAAAAAGATGGACTGGTGCATCCCTGCTTATTTTATTATATTTCTCTGCATGCATGCCTGTTATGTTCTTGCACAAATTACCAAATCAGATCAGTGTGTGAATCTAGTTTAGTACTAGCAATAGCAAAAACTGTATTCTGATTCAGAAATAGGCTTTGTGACTTCTTGAACACTGCTGAAATAAAAGTCATCCTCAGATTTTTTTGCTCATTTTCACACATTTGATTTAATTGTATTTCTTTGTATTTCATGTTTCTACTTGCCGGGTGCATTAGAGGTGAAACTGTGCCTAATCTCTGTTTGACCCACAGTGTCTCGCGTTGGTCTCACCCCTGACTCAGCAGCAGCCTCTTCATCTAATTATCTGTTCCTCTTCATTACCTGCTCATGTGTCTGTCCTCATCAACTTTCACGCTGTTGGAAAAAGCATGTACGCATGAGTAGGCTATGTGCAAAAATTTGTGTGACATTTAGTAATAATAAATATATAAATTATGCCTCAGTGACAGGTAGGCTGATGAGTGAAAAGCAATGTTATAGCTGCAATCTGAAAAGGATAGACACAATAAAGGTATAAAATGTTGCAGTGTTACAGTAATCTCAGCAAGGAGGTCACAAGTTTGTTAGTTGTGTTCACATTTAGAGGCAAAAAAAACCAAAAAAACATGCAAAGCAACAATTAAATTTTTTTTAAACAATGAAACAAAATAATAATCCAGACTATACAATCTGGATGGGTAATATTGACAGATAATCTCATGCATGGATTGATGCGGCGTCTTCAGCGCCTCTGTGACTCAGCTGTGTGTTGCTCTTGATCTGATTATCTGTCCTGTATAATTAGCAGGTCATGTGACTCTGTGCCAAGTGAACTCTGATTAATCTGTATGGACCCGTTACAGTTTTATACCACAGGCTGCACACATGCAAAGGTGCACGTCTGCTGCTGAGCTAAAAGGGCTTCAAATAGATCCACAAAGAGAGCATACTTCCTGGGTTAAGCC